AGAAAATTAATAGTAATATCACAGTGCATGATGCCCATTTCAAAAAGAGAGACTTAGTCAGAGTAGGAACTTCTGTCAAAAAGCTGAAATCGACTACAAAAAGAAAAAAGACATAGCGTAGTCTTTAAAATATTGTGCAGAACTCAACTTCTGATTATTCACAAATGAAAAATTAAAGACAAAGCCGGTATTGAGAAAAAACATTGTTCTTGGTAAAATTCTGTATTCAAGCAACAACTCATTCTCGCTAGAAAAATGTTTTGTTGGTTCAAGTAGACAGTGTATGAGGTTTATAAAGAACCGCTGTTGTTTCCTATTAATTTCGTTTTAACATTCAAAAGACAGAAATTTTTAAACAGTAAAAAGCATTAAATTTTATAATTTATTAGTAATTAGTTATACGTCAATGTTTTCTTTTTTTTCCCGAGACTTTTCTTTTTTTTCCATCCTTAAAAGTCGCCTTTTCGTATCTGACACTTCTCACGTTGACTTATCGTTTGATGCAAGTATTGGCGAAGCTGTTTTGTAAATTGTACACTTGAATCGGTTTATTTTGAAACTGATGTGTTTTGAAAGGTATTGTTGTAACATTTTAAGAATGGTGAAGAGATCCTTTTTATAAACTTTTTTGCCATCTTATGACCAATATATTCATTCATGTCTGTGTAGATAATCTAATAGCACAAAAATTGTCTTCTACGTAAACGTTATTCATTTAGCTTTGATGACGAATTCCGCTTGTCAAAAATTAGCTATGCACTTTAAAGACGATTGGAGAAACTTTTTTTATAGCAAAATCCTTTTCATCAAGTGTTTAATGAAGACATGTATTACTTTATTGACGGCAGTTGATTAGCAAAACCATTTGGCACTTGATACAAAATGTCTCTTACTGTAAAAAGTTAGTTAACAGTATTATGTAGACATATTAACAAATTAATGCTACATTTCATTGATGTAATTTTTCAAACAGCAGTCTTGGCAGCTTAGATAGATTAGTGGATGCTGTATTACCAGTTCATAGAAATAATCGTTGAGATTCTCCTAACAAATTTTATAGTTTGTAAATTTAAGTGTTAACGAAACTCTTTTCTCTCGTAAATCTTTAGAACAGCTAATAGCAATTAAAATGTATAAATAAACTTAAATTATTATGTAGTTTTATGCCCGTGTTGCTGCTAAAACAGCTCCAGCAGTTACAACCAAGGCCAATGCAATTAAGCATAGTACCAAGGCCAGAATTTTTCGACGTCTTCTTGATCGATCTTTTTGCCGTCGTTTCTGCGTATAAATGTCAAAATTATAGTTTCCATCCAGGAATGCTCTTTCCTTTAGTGGTGAACCACTGTTTATAGTCGCTCTCATAGATAGAGCTGGTCTAAAAGTGTAGAATTACATTTATAGCAAATAGATTCCCTCCTTTTTTTTCTTCAGTTAATCCAATATTAGTTCCAACTACTACTTTTGATATTTTCGCATAACTGGTATAGAAAAAATGTCATTTTATTGGCTGGGTATCCAAATTAAAAAAACTGTCTTTTTTTTAAAATTTAATGGTCATTTAGAAACGCATCTTAAAGGTTAGCCGTCAAGTCCTTCACTAAAAAAACTTAGACGGTTGAATAAAATTATACCTTATTTTATATTGTCGTTCTGGTGAATATAAACTCCATTGCGAAAGAGATTTGTCGGCTCTCTAAAGGGAATGGTACGTCATAAATACCAAATGGGAAATTTAGTGACAAATAATTAAGAGAAAGGGGAGAAAAAGGCAAGCAAAACGTTCTTTTTTTTTTGCAAAGAAATGACATCCCTTAGCCCTTTTAATTAACAAATCTACAATGGTAATGGCATTAAAGGAATATTTACAGTTAGGAAAACTTTTCCGGAACACCTCATCTATTGTCTAATTTTACTAAAGCTAGATTTCAAAGTCTTTATCCTTCATTTTAATTTAGTGTTCTGTCTAATATCCATCTCGTGCTCAACTTCAGTAAAAAAATTTGTTTGCAAAGCGTTTTCTCAAATCTTCGACTGTATATTAATTCCTTAAGCTACTTGAATAATATAATTACGTCAATTCTTCGCGTTATTTCTTCCTTTGAATTATAAAGCTTTTTGTGCCGAATTTTGATATCCCTATTTCTTCTGCTTTTCATAAATAGTTTTTATGTAATTTATTCTAAGAGCAGCAAGAACAGTTAATTAATATAGTTTAGAAATTGAAGAAGCAGCGAAGAAAAAGAAAAAAGAAAACAGCATACAGCAGAAAATAGGAAAAACTTACTTCAGAACAAACCGGCGCTGTTGTAGCACCGAGGCCTCTAGTCTTGAGTAGTGATGTATCTGAAAGATAATGTGTAGGTGATGTCCCGTCCGGAGCTTGAGCTGATAAAAGCGTATTTCCTCCATACAGTTTGTAAGGATAAAGTCCCTCAACGTTTAGGATTTCATTTTGCGAACTCAACCTTCTTGTCGAATGACGTTTCAACAGTTTATCAGTGCCATGATTATTCGATGTGGTCGCTGGATTCAATATATTGTTTGCACGGGACGATGAAAATCCTATTGCACTTGTATCACAACGTTCATCTTTTAGGCGTTGTGAACGTAAACCATTTGCTCCAGTACTATGGCATGCCTTCAGGATGGAAAGAAAAGTTTCATTTTAACGATTTACCATTTTTAAGATCAACTTATTGATCTTAAGATATTATTAATATCGAGGAACTGATGAAGGAGTCTATGGAAATTTCTTTAATCAACAACACTTACTGGACAACTGTTGTACAGCGAATATGTTGGATTACAGAAGCATACATCACATTTTTTATAAAAGTCTGAATTACGCTTTAATAAGGTTGGTCTTTTGCGGATTTCATCGCGCCGGTGATCACTCTTCCTGGAAAGAAAAAGAATTTGACCTAAATGTTTTCATCTACTGGCAAATGATCATCTTTTGCCTCTTTCTTTCCCCGCCAAACTAGAGCAATCTTGCTCCTTCAGCATGTTAAAAACATTTGAAACTTTATTGTCTCTTACTACTGCAGATATTTGTCAAACATGCTAAATGCATAATACAAATATACTCCAGAAGGTTTGATTCCAACAAGTAATTGATGCTTAAATTTTGATGCGGTCTATACCAATTTCAGGCAGAGTATATTTGTTAGATAAAATAACGTTTAGAAAATGATATGTTGATTGCATACTTTCGCAAATCGAAGTTACCAGGTTCGTTGACAGCCATCAGTGAATCTGTCCAACTTTGGTTGCTGTCGAAGAACAACTGGTCGCCAGTACAGCTATTTACTTCACAGTAGTTCTGATGTTCTGCAACCGCAGTGTGGTATTATTTTGAACACATCATCTTCATCACCATCGGCAACAATAAGTATTGTTCATACCATTTTAAGCTGATAACACAACAATTTAAAACAACCTATATTATAGTCAAAAAAACATCATAAAAAAGAAAAACAAAAAAAATAACAACAACAACATTAAAAACTTTCATCTTTTTAAACTAAAAATGAACAAAACCCAAAAAAAAGGTATTTAAAAGAATTAGAACTAAAAAATTTAAGCGAAAATATAAACCCAAAAAAAAATTTTTGTCGGTAGTTGAAAATTGAACGAAGTTTTATTGATGAAAAAGGAGTTTCTTCTTTTCCTTTTTTTTTTCTTCCTTTTTTTTTCTTTTCAATTTCTTCTAGTAACTTCAATAAAGGATGCATAATAAAAAAAAGTATATTTCTATTTATCCATTTTTTCTTTTTTTGATAAAAAAAAATTTGCTCAACTAAACCGCTATTATTGTCTAATAGGCGCCGTTGTAGATAAAAGAAAAAAACTGAATTATCTTCAACAGTAATTGTAAATTATTACCATTAACAAAGCCATGGCCAGGCTGTTTTTCGTCAGATATTCTCTGCCGATCTAAAAATTTGGCGCTTGTAGAAAAATCTTCTTCTGCTTTCTGGATAACTTCTTCAGGACAATCTACAAATCAAAAATTATTGGTATTATTTGTCAAGTTGCAGTACTGTTCAAATTAGTGGTAAAAAATAAAAGACCAGAAGAATTGTTTTTTCCAAATAATTATTCTATTGGAGAATCCATCAATAATTTCTATTGCTAAATTTTTGTTGTACAATGATATTTCTGCCTGGTAGACTTTGCTACAACAAAACTTTTGCTTTTCACCAGTAACATTGCATTTATTATTTAAATTTTACTTTGATAATTTGTTTTAACAAATAATTTTTGTATCTCTGCAGATCTCCTGCAGATTTTTTATTTCTGTTTCCAGAAATACTTAGCTTGTGTACCAAAAATGATATGAATTCTCCAACGGTCCTGGTGGTTAACAACTAAAATGTTCGTTCTTTTGACAACTACTTTAGTGCTTATCGTACCGGTAAATTCAATTGCTTCTTTATTATTATAGGAAAAAGTGGAAGACCGGGACGATTGTTCACTGTCATTCTGGATCTCAGTTAGCTGTTTTTTGGATGATACTGAAAATGACGGTGATAGCGTTAAATCGTTCTCTTCTATAACTGTTGGTGGTAACGGCCAAACACGCGACGACCCAGAATACTGAAACAAAGGTATTTTTGATATCTATCAAGTATATCTGCTCTCTAACTTCAATTATTTGCAATATTTAATCTAAATTTTGAGCATAATTATAAAAATTTCTAAGTGGGTTAGCTGGAAAAAATGTTATATAGCAGTAAGATACTGGCATATATCCAGCGTTAATTCTGCGTTGTATACGATCGTTCAATTTATAAATGGTACTAATTCGTTTTACAGGATCACGATCTAAGCGAAACGGTGATGAATGGTAAGCCAGTGGTTCAGAGTTTAGAGATGAACTAAATCAGATGAATAATGCATAGTTAATTCATGGTAGTTGCAATATTTTAGTATGCAATAACATAAATAAAGTTTTGAGCTAACTGATTAAAGTGTTACAATATTAACATTTATTGGCAAAAAATGATAAGCATTTTTTTTTTTTATAGACAACGATTGTTTAGGAGAGATGAAACTACTTGGGTAAAAAATATACTCATTGAAGCTGCTGTTTAGAGTTTGTTCTGATGACATCCGATCGACTAAAATCCAGTTTTTTTTAATAGAGCCATTTTGCAGAAGCCAATCGCCCATACTGTAAAATAAATACATTATATTGCTCCAAAAAAA